CTAGCCGATCACGTACTGTGGAGACGCGTCGACATCTGGTAAACATCCTGCCCGGAGAATAGGATCTGCGTGTGGCAAGCTACGGGACAGAAACCGTTGGAATGTTTACTGCCGCGTGCCGCTACAAATCTTTCTTTTAAGGATAGCTATAGGATTACTCAATGCCTTTGTTAGATGGAGAGTTCGTCCCGTTGACCGCGGCCACGTTCGGCGACTAATTGTCGCTTTGAGCCCAAGCTCATTGTCACAAGTCTCAAACAAATACAATTGGTTAGAATGACGGCAAATCGTTTAGTTACAACTGTAGATTTTAATTACAATGCTTTTATGGACTTTCCCGAGGTTTCAGAGGGAAGGCACCGGTGTCCTCTTATCTCCGACATATATAATATAGTCACCTTTTGCAATAGGTACTGCAGCATGAATAATCAGCCCTCCAGTATCAGTGAAACTTTTCGAGCAATTTGCTTTACAGTTATGCTCAAGTAACGATGTCAGTTCGTAAACTGCTACGTATGGTGGATCAGTAAGCGGAACTTCATGTCCATTAACCTGCAATTTAAGTGTTTGTCATTCACTTATTCAGATTTATTTCTAAACCGATAGAATATATGATATGTTTGTATTTGATCAAGATAATTAAAAGAATACTAATTGAAAATAATATACGGTCGGATCCCGTATGAGACGATGCTTCTCTAACGTGGACTAAAAATTACGCCAATGCTTCCATATAACGCGATTAAGAAGCTGCAGGAAATGACTCTTTTCTAATATGAAAATATGTAAGTCTTTGAATTGACTCGACGCATGGTTTTGCATTAACTCTTGTGCGATAATGAGTTAGTATTGTGAACAGTTATTATTGTGGGTCGCATATTATTTTATCATATTAAGAAAAGACTGCATATTTATTTAATTATATTCTTTTGCGCTCTTGAATTCGTAACGGAACGTATATCTAGCGTTATAGGAGGTGCTATTGTACTACATTGTAACCGTATCAGTTATATACACAGATTCATTGATCAATATCCGAAACAGGTCTTTATGTCTGAAAGTTCAAGCTTTCAAGCATTAACTCAAGGATCTGTCAGGTTAAACACGATGCGTAGACGAGAAGTCAAGCCACATTTTGTACTTTTGCTGCGAATTCGCCTCAAGCCGAGGAGTAACGGGCACAAACCCGGCCATGACACTGAGACGCGATCTGATGCGGTGCAAATATCCATCGAGTATAACATAGTAATTAAAGTCATTATCAAGCGATGAACTGTTTAATTCTGTATATGAGTCACCAATTCCCCAGTCTCGTCAAAGAAACGGGAAGTAGATAAGAAGTGTTTACGCAAAGCGACTAGTTCATAGTGTCGTATATTTGATTTCCCAGTGAGAGCGTGTCTATGATAGGAAACTTGCCGTTGGCAAGTCTATATAACAAATGGCACAGAAAAGAGCAGCAATTTGCAGTTGAAAATCATTGAAGCTAACGAAAAAATTTCTATCATTAACCGCAAGTGAACAACAATTTAACAGATCTTATAGAAGCTGGTACCCTTGCAGTTAGAAGTGTTGAGGTTATCTATTAGAGGAACGCGTGGACGAATGTGTAACATACACAATATACCTATGTTTCACAACAACTATCCATTGACGACTAACAAGGTGTTAATACAACTGCGGAGAACTTAGAAAATATAAACAAAGATAGGCACAAAACCAGATACCCCCCTCACGTTCAGAAATCACGTAAAAAGTACAAATTGGTTGAAGATACTAAATTACATCATAAAATTTAATTTCGGCACTGTGACAACGAAACCAAGTTATTGTGAAAGAACTATCCAACGCGGTAATTTAAATCTGTTTTCAATTGTGTGTTAATTTATAGTCGGCGAATTATAGTTTTAATATTATTTTGATAAATTAACTTTTATTATAATATAGTCAAATAAACTAATATTTTAATAATATTTAAATAAAAAAATAAATTACAATATAAATTAATAAACTAATTTTTCCTACCTTTTTCAGTTCTTCTCGTTTGTTACTTCGAGCTTGCGTTAGTATATGTGAACGTTATATGAACGTGCGCTCTGTAGCAGCTGACACGCAGTGTACATTATGTTCATTATCTTCCTTTATTAAAATTGTTTAGTAATAAGCAACAATAGATAACGTAGACGACAATAAATAATAACTCAAAAATTGTTTAATACTGTTGTCTATACAGTATAGTGCAACATAATATAACACATTTTCGTTGGTCTTTGTACATTTGCTAAAAATATCGAGCTTAGAAATTAAAATTGTGCGGTGTCCGAATCCGCAGAAGCCGATAATTGCTTTTGTCGTTGTAAACACACACGCAGTTGGCGTAAAAAGTATTCGTACAAGAACTAATTTCAACAAAAATTTTGTAGAACATCGTTTATTAATAAAATTTTAACAAATAAAAATTATATACGCATTCTTACAAGTCTGTAGAATATGTAGAATATATAGAAAATAAAGCTGGGATATCTATGCCCTCCGTGAAAATATTAACAAATATCTAAAAAATGGCAAAAATATATGCGTAATAAATATTCGTAGTTACAGTTTAAGGGAAAAAATTATTAAGACGAGTATAATTATTTTAGTACTCAGCAGATTTCTTTTGATTTTATTATGACTTGAAGCCGCCGTGGCATTGAATTTGTCAAATTGACAAAGATCCTACTTACAATATTTTTCCATTCTTGTAAAAGTATCCTCATTGAATCATTTCCAGACGAAATATGGTGATCTGTATTTTGCGTTTTAGGTAGTCCCATATATTTTCAATAATGTTTATATTTGGGAATTGTGGAGGTATTTTAAGTGTTTCGGAACATTGTTCGTCTTTCAAACCTATTTTCCCTGCACTTTGATGCAGATTGTCTTTTATGCTATGAAGCGGTAACTGTAGAAATATTTATTACGCGTAGATATTTTCCTAGATATTTATTAAAAGTTAAACAACAGAGATAGAAAATTATTTTGTGAAAAATCTTATTTTCTGAAAATTAATTTGGAGGCTTCTAGGAATACATATGTGGCGGCACTCGACAGCAAAATACCACAGCTCAACACTAACTAGAACCTGACAACGGCGACGCAGTGGTTAGCGCCTTAGATTACGAATATTCAGGACCTGGGTTCAAATCCTGACCGATTTTTCTTCCACGCATCTAAAAATGAGAAGAAAATACAGGGATACCCCAGCAGCGACATCTATAGCCAGCAACTACAATTATCACGGACACCTATATACCTCACATATATAATTTCTATTTCTTAAAATTTAGTTACTAAACGCTCTACGAAATGTATTACAAACGTGTACTAAATGTTCTACTATAATTTTGTTAAAGTTAGGTTCTATACAAATACTTTTCGTATTAACTGTATCTGGGAATATTATACTTTACGGAAACATGCTTTTCGAGAATATTTATTGAATATGTGACATTTCTATTCGTCTTAATATTTATAACGCAATTGTAAAAGATTGATTGAATTTCTACCTGCAAGATGCCGACGATTTTTGTCATTTCCTCCTCCGAAATATCATCTGTTTTGAAAAATCTTTTAATAAAGCGAACAGTGTTTGACAGCTCATGGGAATTTATTCGATCGCAATGGCTTTCGAGCGATAGCAATTTCTTATAAGATTCTAAATTAACATCCTTCGATGCTAACGCTCTTATGACAGTTATACATTGATAACTTGGATGTGGATGGCCAAATTCAGTTATAGATACCTGAAACATTACATTATTATATCAGTATATATTGTTAACAGATCTCTTTCATATATCTATCGATATATAAAATAGCTATAGAGTTTCTTCTGACGTAAGAAATAGCAATAATCTAACAAGAGCATCACCCGAGAATGACACGCCGATTTTGATGAAACTTTGCATATTTATTATGCAATCAAAAATATTCCACACAAATTTTTTATCTACGATCGATTTACCTGTAGAGACAGGAAACAGCTCTTAAAATTGTTTACTAAAAACATATTTTCTGGAATGTCTCTAAAATTATGAATTTTGTGCTTTTGGACGAGTATGGTTAAACTTTTGCTCGAAACTCGAAAGGAAACTCTCAGTCACTACCAATATTGGTTCGTAAATTGGTTCCGTAGCTCTTCTTGTTCTTTGTTAGGAAGTGTAAAGTGTTAGACTTTTAAATGGAGATAAAATATTTAATCCCAACTCCGAAACTATGATACCGTCAACGTCTCCAACGTTGCTTCGGATATGACGATCACGGAAAAAGTATTATAGTTTAGAAACCCTAAAAAAGTGGTTTTCGGAAGTGAAATTAGCTCAAATGAAGATGCTTGATTTTGAACTGTTGAAAAATGAGATCAATTATATTCAAGAAGAATTTTGTGTATTCAAGAATATTACGCAATCATATTTTCAAAGATGTAAATATAGATAAATTATTAGAATATAATTGAGGTGTATGTGTTGTCCGTGATGATTGTTGGTAGCTGCTGGCTGTAGATGCCGGTGCTGGGGTACTGCTGTATTTTTCTTCTTATTTAAGAATTGTGGAAGAAAAATATATGACTACGGGCGCCGGGATTCGAACCTGGGTCTCAATACCGTTGTATTTGTTGTCGAGTGCCGCCACATAATGTTTTTGTAAGTTGATTTGTGCATAAAATCATTTTACGCTAACTGTAAGACACGCGTCTCGTATACGCTAAATCGTCCAAAGTTGCTGCTACGCCCGACCGAAAAAGTCCTCGAGTGCGAAGGGTTAAATCAACCTCTTCAGTACGATGCGCCATTATAGTGGTTTTCGCGGATGTCATCTTATATTACGACGCGCCACTATAGTGGCTCACTCTACTGACTCATTCGCTCACCGTTTAAACTAAATGATCTATTTCACTTGCCTTGTTTCATACGCATTTGCCCTCACAACGTTTTATAACAGAATTAACAATGTAAAGACAGAATATATAGTCTTTGTTTTTGGTACGCCAGTGTCGGGTGTCAATTGTTGCTTTTCATTAAAATAAATTATTAGTTCATTATTAGTTGCTCTTTTTAACATGCCGATCCGTATCCTTATAATTTTTTAGAATCTTCAACCTCAAAATGTCGCTTCAAAATAGAAAACTAAGAGCAATTTGAAAGACACTATCGCGTTATGAGTGTGAAAATTGTGACGTGGTCTATGTGTCGTACCGTGCTTTAAAATATATCACACTCAACTGTATTATTAATTATTAAAGTAAATTATTAAAGTTACAGTATATGCATCATATCTTTAAGAAAAATTATAATTTAGTTATCCTTCCAAAACTTCGTTCCAATGCGCTTGCGTAGGGAGCAGCATTATCCGTCACACATTGCAGTGCTGTATCGTCCATTTATGTAGGATTGAAACAGTATAAAATACATTAATTGTAAGCTAGAAAATACTTTTTTAAAAATAGGAGTAGCGTTCGCATCTTAAAAAACAACAAAATGCATTCTTTTAACGATTAATTCTGCAATATTCCCGATTCTGGATTATTCCAAAATGCTCTGCACAAGTAACGACCCCTTCTATAATTATTTGAATTGTATATTAAAAATCATTACTGTTTTTTTAAATATTTTTTGTTAATACTTATTGATTTTCGTGTAAACGCATTGATCAGAATTTCGATTTTACTAAGATTTTACTTTGATTTTACATTACAATTAGATGAATTTAAATTCAAATTGGATTAGGTTTGTTACTGCAGACAATTGCTACGCTTGGATTGAAAACTTAAGAAAAATTAACCAGTAGAAATGCGATATACAGGGTGTTTCACTTAAAACAGGCAATCTAAATATTTTCTCTGCCTATGCATAATACGAGACATATTCCTTACGTAATTTAAATGATTTTAAGTGGCGATTTAGATGGAAGAACATTTTTTAAATAAATATCCTTTCATATCTTCTTTTCCAGGTAACCCATGTTTCTCTAAGTGTACATAAATAATTTTTCATATTGTATGTTATAGCTAACATTACTGTATATTCACCCACGTACAATAGTACGATCTTCAAACGATCTCGGACTCTAATATTTTTTAATTAATGGAATTTAGTTTTTGTGAGATTGCAGGTTTCAGCGATAACAAAAGATCGATCGTCAATTTAAAATTGTACAGGAACAAATGTTATTTCTGTCTAGATATTCAAGGATTTGGTAGCTGTTAAATCTCTCATTGTATCGATAAACGATCTGCAATGCATTATTCAAAGCGGGAGGAAGTCACAATGGTTTTATCGTGATCTGTATACGCATGTGTCGATGGAAACAAGCGTGCGAGACGTAAATCTGTTACTCGTAATAGAAGTCGGAGGAACATCATCACCAATTAATCAAATTACGAGGTTTGTGAGAATCACGTATCGGTATAAATTCAACATTAATTTGATATTAGCGTGTCAAACATATTCCGGATGCCTGATTCATAAAAATGTTATCCTTTCCATCTATTTTTTCATCAAGAAATCACATTTCAAATCGCATATTGTCGCATCGTATAGTGGACGAAAGGCCTAAGAGATATCGGGCGAACTATAAACAATGTCGCGTGAAAGCCGAAGTGCCGACAGGTCCAACAATGTATCGTCTGTCCATCAATCGAATAGTTTCGCGGAAAAGGCTTGCGTGACCCTGACCACGAGCGGTTGCGGAATACGTGCATGATGGGGCTAAGACGAAAGACAAAGGGATGCTAAGGGACAAAGACGAATTAACAGTCAGTGTTGATTGAGAAGCCAGAGAGCGTGAATCGAGCGTTGTCGAGAGAATGTAGTCCGCGTGACAGAGAGCGATGGAACTGTAGTGACGAGAGTTGCAAATCAACTATTTAGTTGTTTTAATTATAATACGTTATTGTGATTAGTTCACGTTAAACAACCATCGTTTCCTGTTTAACCAACATCTGTTTAATCCATTTACTTTAAATAAACTAATTGTAGTAAAGATCCTGCAATATTTTTAAATGCTGTATACGATAAAAGTCGAGCTGCTGTTATATATAGGAAGAAGTTGTTTAGAATGTTGACATTTTTAAAAAAACCGATGGTTTCAAAAAGTGTGAGTATTGGAAGAAACGGTTTGCAGATTCGTGTTTAGCTTACAAAAATAAAAATAGTTAGGTTATCTTAACAATGAAGTAGTGTAATTACCTTATGATCTCTACGAGAAGAAGAAAAATTACACTCTAATCCATGATCTTTGCAATCTTGACAAAGAGGCCAGCCACATTTTTCACAAGCTACTGCAATGGTTTCGTTCAAGACCATGTAACAGCGAAGGCACACAGGAGCGCAATTATACATAGGACCTGCTATCAGAGGTTCATCATCTTTCAAAACAATTTCCCCAACTTTGATATTTCGTGTGGCTATACAATGACGACCCAATAAGGAATCTTCTGCTAACTGTAAAACGAGGTACGTAATTAATTTCGAATTTTTCTTTGCAATTTGCCCAAAGTGGTGTAATAATTAACATTGGTAACTCGCGAATGACAATATTCATTGAGATGCTATTACGCCATGATTATAGTCCGTATACATGTTTATAATACTATTTCATAGATCAATTTCATATTCCTTGTATAATCTTCTAATAGTCCGAGTTTCGTAAAGCTTCGTCTTTCGTATCTCTACGATGTATTATATTATAGTTACATTTACTTTGCATAACGTTGAGCCTTTTATTACCCTCATTTTCATACACTGTTGGAATATCACATTTGTTATTTACGAAACTGAATGTGTATCTAGTAAAGCTAGTATTATCAGCAAACACAAATACTTTAATGTCTACGAATGTTGAGATACCGACTGTGTATAGCGTATATAAAATTACTCTTAAGACACTTTCTTAGAAAACTTCTACGTTTATGCCCGTCTATATTTTCTTATGGAAACATGCCCTAATGGTTTGTAACACAATCTTACATACCATATACTATCGAAGACTTTAGAAGTGCTGACCAGCATTACTTATTCTTTAGTGCGCGATTCGTTTTATTAGGTATTTCGTACATTTATTGAATGATTGGGGTTAGATTGGGGTTATTTATTCTTTTACTTGAATTGGTATTATTACGGACTGTTATTCGTCTGCTTCGTTCTGAGGTGTTGTGTTCATGCCTAGTACACGCATATATCGGCAATTAAAGAACGGAATTCCTCCTTGAACCTAATTCACTCTCCTTTGTGGGCAGTTATTCGTGAGTCACACGAACCATCCAGAAAGGTAAGATCGCTAATTGATTTGTTAATTATCTGATATAAAGAGACGAACACGTCTAACAATTCAGGTCTTTTTAATTACACTAAGGAGATTTTTCAAATAGAGATTTAGAGGTTTTTTACACAAGGTTTTTCATAAGCTTTTAAGCACTCTTGTGCCAATTCCGTGTCAGTTCCCCTATAACATTTATTTTTAAAACATTCATTTATAAAACTCATCTAGTAATTATCAGGTGTCATCCGTCGAATATCTTCACCCCAATATAGTACCTTTGTCTCTAGTGGCATATTAGTGAATGGCGAATTACAAGTCTCGCAAAGTTAGATAAAATTATCTAAGCTGGACGATAGGTTATTTGAATTTGATTCGAGACAGAACATTTTTTACTAAATATCTTTATAAACAACAAATTATATACAAATAATTGATTGAATATTTGAGTCATAATATAACATAATAATTATGTAATATTTTGCACTCCTTTTTATTTTTACCGCATCGCGGCTTTGGATTCCGAGGTATGAAAGAAAAGATAAATTTTGATGATTTTTGAATCTATTATAAAGATCCACATTTTGCATAACTTTTTCCTGTATATGTAAATATCGGCCAATCATTTCCGAGATATTCGCAAAAAACTATCAGTGAATTTTGCCTACAATTGTGCGGCCGTAACAGCGCGCATGATACAATTAGTTGCCGGTCGTCTACAGGGTGGGTCGGAAATCGCAGTACGACGGGACAAGGATTGATTCTACACGAAAAGATAAGTAAGTGTAAGAAAGTGTTAAATGTTTGTAACTGGATCAGCGGGAAGATATGTCCTATAATATGCAAAAAACTCATCTCGATTGGTCATGCCGTTTCAGAGAAATCGGTCAACATACAAAAAGAAAAAAAAATATACCCATTGAATTGAGATATTTTTTTTCTTTCCCGAAGTCAGTATCAAGACTGACCCTTATGTGTATTATATGACTTTTCTTTATTATAAGTATTTCTAAAATTTATGATTCATGGTATGCTAAAGTGTGCAAATACAAGGTATACTAGCATATTAAGCTTTAGAGTTGAAAATTATATTTTACAAAAAAATTAAATAAAGAAGCACATTCTTTACAGATTTACAAAAAATTTTATCAAAGATACAGATTGTGCCAATACTTCCATTCGGCACTGTACCATGTTACAACTACATATTTCCTCATAGATATTATATTAGGATAAAAAATATTTTTCATTTTCGCCTGCATCATTTTCAACTTTCACTTGTAATTTTAAGTAATTTATAACGTATCAAACTATGAAAAAGTAGAAAGTACGATGTATACTTGAATTTCTTATAACTAGGTACTATAAAACACAGAAAATTTTAATTCAGCATATGTAAAAATGTTAAACTCAAAATTCGTTACGTTTAACATTCGCCTCTTTCTGTGGGTCCTTTGAATGCTATATACTCGTATATATACTTTGTAAATCTTATAACAGTATCATTGTTAAAAATATGATAATAAAAATTTGTTTAAAATATGTAATGTCGTTAAAAATTTTGTAAAACTCTGACATTACAGTTCCAGAATTTATAATTAAAAAAGAAAATTGGTTAACTTGAGAAAATCGTACAAGAGTAATAAATAAATTAAAATCAGAAATATTTAATTATTTAATGTTTTATCTTCAAATTTTGAATAATTAATACGACTCAGACTTAGTATAAATTTGAAACAATTGTACATTATATTTATACCAAACTATCCTTCGTACATAATTATCTTCAATAAGGAAATGGTACATTTCAATGAATCGTCGCACTACGTGCTTCTAAAAAATTTGCACGTAAACCTATCTTTTCATTAGCATATAAGAAATGGTTATTACATTCACAGGACAGTTTTACAGAAATTAATAAATACACCATCATATTTCGATATAATTTGGTGCCAATTTTGGTATGGTTCTTGAATATAGTTTTCCTGTTCAGAAGAAAAAGAACAACGAAGAGCCTCTTTTCTTAATTCCGCCACGTGTTACTGTGTTAAAATACATCAGATTTCTCGCAAGGTTCGTGTCTCAAGTCAAGTTTCGATAGTTTCGTTTCAAAATTGAGAGTAGTCTTGAATTTTGAGCTTTACCTAACAACTACTTCAGGCAGCACTGGAACTCGAATTTCTTTCAAATTTCGGTTAAGGTTCTAACCTTATAAATAAGATAATCTTAACCAAAATAACGCATTGACTTTAGGCGATGAAAACCATACTTAAATCAAAAACCATGTTCTATTTGTTCGATGGATATTGTGACAAATTATTTTCAAACATCGTGTACAAACTTTATAACGCATAAGAAACAATTTTACAAGGTATAATAAATTTGATTACATTAAAGTAATCTTGCTTTTTCTCCTAAGAACTAAGACTAAACTTAATATAATATAATTATATAATTGAATTCATAGGCTAGAAAATATTAGATTAGTACGAAAACTACTAACCTTAAAACTTTTGCAAGCTTTTGCGTGATTCCTCCAATCCTCTTTCTGATGTTGCTTACTGCAGTAATAAACATTTCCACAGGCACTACATTTATGAATTGCATTTTTCCCGCAAATCGCACAAGTAGTCTGAGATTCCATTGTTAAAACTTGTAACAATCTCGTTTACAAAAATGCATATATTACATACGTTGTGGTAAAAGTGATTCATATGTTCTTAATTATTTTAATATTATTTTATGTGCTAACATTTTTTATTTATAGTAACAGAGATTTAAATCATTAAATTATAATCTCTCGTTATTAAATAATAATTTGAAAATATAGAAATTCCAATAATATTTCGAATTAGTATAATATATTTAATACATACTATGACCAAAGAAAAAAGCTTTAATATTAAAAGTACAACAAATTTTCCATAAAAATAATAGATATTTTTCCTTTTTCATCACAGTTTGATTGAGTTACATATTCACGTATAATATTGTTAATTGAGCGATTAAAATATATAGTCTAAAAAATAGATAAGCGAAAAATATAATTTAATTATACAAAAATTTATTAATTTGAAGTCATTAGAAATGCGATATGAATATAAAAAAAATGTATTTTGAATATAAAAATGCACAAAATTTAATGAAACACACGGTATTGTGATTAGCCGTGCAATTAAATGCATCATCCTGTTGAAAAAAAGAAATGAAGGAGGAAGAAAGTTTGCGATCTCAAAACTTACCACAAATAACTTTTTAATCGTAAGAATTCGAACAAAAAATTTTTAAATATCTTCTTTCATTTAATGAATTTCATTCACTTATAACTGTTATGTACTTTTATAATAAGTTTTATATAATATAAAATATAAATAGAAGTTTAGTTCACATATATTCTGTTATAAATTAAAAGTACGAAGTGATTCATTAAATTCTGAAAAAAGAGCTAATATTAAATTATGTGGGGCTTAAAAAGTATTAGTATTACAAATGTAGCTATTCAAAAATAATTGAAACAAATATACATTTAGTCGAAAAAGTAACTTAAAAGTTATGCAACACACGACGCGATAAACTACTTTGTTATTTAAAACAAGGAGCGTCCGCTTTTGCACGGTGATATAGACTAACTAAGCGTATTGCTTGAGAGGAAGTTGATTTCCAGAATAGAATCTATTTAGAGAAGAGCAACAGTACTTGTGCCTAGACATGCACGCTAGTAATTATATGCCTGTGTAGCATAGTACATCTACACATCTTAACATCAATCCATATTTCTAACACATTTTCAAAACGGAGAACATTGAATGATTTACACGTGCAAAGATAAATATTAATTTTATAATGGAATCTATGTATCCAAAAAATATATAAAATCGCGCGTTTCTTATTTCTCCTTTTTTCTTCTTCAACACGTTGCGTATTTCCAACTTTATTGTTAAAAAATAGAGTATGTACATCTGCATTGTACGAGCGAAAAATGAAAGAGAGAAAGACAAAAGGAAAACGCCATGAGACGAGCGTATTGCGTATGTGTTGAATGAATGAATATGCAATAAAACGAATTCATTCCAGTTTGAAATATAAGAGAATAGAGCGGTGTACGTTAATACTTTGTTATTCTGTTACACATAAATTTTATATGTCGGGTTTACATTAGAATTATGGTTAGGGGCGTGAAACGAATCTTCGTTTGGGTTACACGTTGTCGTTATGCAATAGAGAAGACATTGACTAGTGCAAATACGATTATTATAGAGCCGGACAAGTAACCGTGGTAGTTAGGTACTCGAGAAACTAATGACAATGATCCTAGGTTCAATAACGAATCCGCGGACAACGGGACGGTAGTCGTACGCACTCGCAAAATCTAAGTCGGATTCTGTGTTAATATTCGCTGACCGTAAGGAGTTAATCCTTTTTTGTCGATGAGACCGCAAGAGAGAATGACTTTCCGTCCCGGTGATACCCCAGAGGAAAACTATGACGGGGTGTGTCTAAGGACACGAGATCATCGGATTCGTCGAGAAAAGCCTTCGTTCAGAAAGTAAGGGAAATTGGCGTTGCTGCTAGTTGGTCAATCTCCATATCGGTGGTTAGAAAAAGATGCTAGCCGCCCTCGAGGGAAAGTTGCTAGTGGGAGACGCCGCTCGTTGAAAAATAGGTCTCCCCTATCTTCCCGT